GAAATCAACCAATAACAAATGCTGGCTGCACTGTGGGGAAAAAAGGAATCCTTTTCCCCTATTGGTGGGAGTGGAGACTAGTGCAACCACTGTGGAAATCACTATGGAGATACCTTAAAAAACTAGGGTTAGAGCTCCCATTTGACCCAGCTATTCCCCTGCTGGTTATCTTCCCCAAAGAATTAAAAGTATCATACCGCAGCAGCACAGTTTGTAACAGCTAGATGGTGGAAACAGCTCAAGTGCTCATCAACTGGTAACTGGATAAAGAAGATACGTTTAAAAATAATAATAAAATGGAGTACTACTCAGCCATAAAGAATGAGAAACTAGAGACATTTATAGCTAAATGGATGCACATTAAGCCCATACTCTTAAGTGAAATAAACAGGACACACATGTGTAAATACTAAATAGTTTTTCTGATGAAAGAAACTGAAAGTGTAAATGAGGACCAAAATGTATAATAGATAATGTGAAATTGGAAGAAAAGGCCCAAAGGGGAAGGGGAAGGGGAAGTGGGGGGGTAGGGGAAAAGAAAAAATACGATCAAATGAAAAAACGGAAACAAAGTCTTTGTCAATAAGGAGGAGTGGAGGGGTTGAAGGAAGGGTAGGGGGATGGGGAAAATCTCAGAACCAAGATACATCATGTACAGGTATAAATTCCCAATGATGAATGTCATCATATTGTAGACCTAAAATGTACCAATAAACTTAATGAGAAAAAAAAAGGAAAAGAAATCCAGGACATGAAACCTCAGTAAGTCATATTTTTGAAAATGCAACTTAATATCGAGGCAGTAGACTTGATCAGACAGAAGCAACAATCACGAATTGAAGACATGGAAGTACTAAAACATTCAGACAGGATCAAAGTAAAAAAAAAAAAAATAATAATAAATTGAGGCCGGGGATTTAGCTCAGTAGCACCACGCCTGCCTTGCAAGCACAAGGTCCTGAGCTTGATCCCCTGTACCTAAAAAAAAAAAGCAACATTAAAGAGATGTGGAGGAGTTGCTAGATAAATTTAAAAGAAATAACTTAAAGCTCATTAGCTTAAAAGAAAGCACTGAAAAACAGAATAATGGCTTAAAAAGTCTAGTCACTGAAATTATAGCAGAAAATTTCCCAAAACTGAAGATTAAGCTGGATACCCAGGTATAGAAGGTACTGGGAACCCCAAATAGACACCTTGAGAAAAGAACCTCCCCGTGATGCTATTATAGGTGAAATGCCAAAAATTAAAAACAAGGAAAAAATATTAAAAACTGTTAAAAAAACCCCGAAATCATTTATAAGGGTAAGCCCATCAAAATAACAGTAGATTTCCCAACAGAAACTTGAGAGGCCAGGAAGACATAGAATAAATTTTTTTAAGTTTTGAAAGGAAATAACTGCCAACACAGATTACTATATCCTACAAAGCTATGTTTCAAAATCAAAGGAGAAACAAAGAGGTACTATGATAAATACAAACTAGAGAAACTCAAAACCATCAAGCCATCACTGCAGATAATACTTATGTAAATCCTAAACACGGATGAAGAAGAGAACAATTCTGAGACAGATGGGAAGAATAAAACTAACTGGCAGAGAAGACAAATGAATAAACAAAGGAATCAAACACCAGAAAAACAACAAAATGTCATGAACTAGTATTTATCGTTGAATAATAATAATGTAAACGGTCTTAATTCTCCAATTAAAAGACCCAGATTCGAAGATTGGATCAAAAAAGACCCATTCTTGAAAGGGGGGAAAGGGGAAGGGGAAGGAGTACAGGAAGGAAAAGGGTACAAGAAAGGAAAGAAGGGAATGGAATTAAAATGAGAAAATGAAAAAATGGAAACAAAGTCTTTGTAAATAGGGAGGGATGGAGGGGTTAAAGGGAGGGCAGGGGAATGGGGAAAAAAATAAGAATGAAGATAGATTATGTAAAGGTACAAATTTCCAATGATGAATGACATTATATTGTATACCTAAAATGTATCAATAAAATTAATTTTAAAAAAAGACCCATTCCTAAGTTGTCTAAAAGAAACACACCTCATTGCAAAGACATGCATAGACTGAAAGTGACAGGAGGGAAAATGATGCTCCAAGCAGCTGAAACTTGAAGGAGTAGCTTTACTCATATCTGACAAGGTACACTTCAGACCAAAACTGGTCAAAAGAGATAAAGCCACTACATATTGGTGAAAGGATGAATTCACCAAAAAAGAAATATCATAAATATATATGAACAAAACATTAGTGCACCCAGTTTCAGAAAAAATGGCAGACAGCCCCCAGTGAAATCATAATGGGAGAATTCAACACCCCACTATTACAAATAGATAAGATAACTAGACAAAAGAGCAACTAAGAAACATCAGAATTAAACTACACTATGAACCAAATGGACTTAACCAATATCTATAGTGTTTCACCCAACATCAGCAAGCTTCACTTTCTTTTTTGCAACCCATGGAACCTTCTCCAAAACAGACCATATTTTAGTCCACAGAGCAAGTCTCAATAAATACAAAAAACTGAAATAATCTCATATATCCTATCAGATCACAATGTAATGAAACTAGAAAATAATAGCAAAATGGGAAGGGAATCCAAGATATGGAGGGAGGTAGGTGGGACAAGAAGGGAAATAAAAAGAATTCAGATGTGTTATGTACATGTACCAACTCCCCATAATTACTGTAATCATTATATACTGTAAACATGTACTAATTAAAATTGAAAAAGAAATTAAAAAACAAGAAAAAACACAGAAACTACAAAACACATGGAGGTTGAATCATATACTCCTAACTGATCAACAGGTCACTGAAGAAACCAGGAGAGAAATTAAAAAATTCCTAGAATTAAATGATAGTGGAAACACTACATAACAGAATAGGTGGGGCACAATAAAAGCAGATAAAAGAGGGAAATTCATGGCTGCTTTTATTAGAAACACAGAGCAAGCCCAAACAAATAACCTAATGCTGTATCTTAAGGTTCTAGGAGAGGAAGATCAAACCCAAAACCAGCAGAAGAAAAGAAATAATAAAGATCAGAGTGGAAATTAATAAAATTGAAACTCAAAATACAACAAAAAAAGCTCAATGCATCGAAGAGTTGGTTCTTTGAAAAGATAAAAAAGATTGATAAATCCTCAGTCAAATTTACCGAAAGAAAAAGGCCCAAATTAATAAAATTAGAAATGAAAAAGCCAAAATTATAATAGATATCACTGAAACCCAGAGGATCATCAGAAACTATTTTCAAAATGTATGTCAACAAATTGGAGAATCTGAAAAAGTGGATAATCTGCTAGACATACACCTAAGTTTCTCCAAGATCATACACAAATTCCAAACAGATCAAGAACAAGTGATAATGCTGCAATAGTAATCAAAACTCTATCAACTATAAAAAGTTTGGGACCAGATGGGTTTATAACTAAATTCTACCACACTTTTGGAAAACTAACATGAATGCTCCTCAAAATATTCCACACAATACAAAGAGATGGTATCCTCTAAAAAATTCCTTCTATAAAGCCAGTATTAAACTGATACCAACACTATGTGAGGCCTCAACAAAAACAGGGAAAACTTCAGACTAATATCCTTGATGAACACAGATGCAAAAATCCTCAATAAGATCCTCACTAACAGAAATCAATATCACATTAAAAAGATCATATTTCATGACCAAGTTAGTTTTATTCAAGAGAGGCAAGGATAGTTCAACACACATAAATCAATAAATGTAATAATATACCACATAAATAGAATCACAGGTAAAAATCATCTCAACAGATGCAGAAAAGCCTTTGACAAAATCCAACACCCATTCATGATAAAATCCTACAGATACAGAAGGAACTTAATGACAAAATGATAAGAGCCAGTATGACAAACCAATAGCCCATATAATACTGAAAGAGGAAAAACTGAAAGAATTCCCTCTAAAGTCTAGAATAAGACAAGGATGTCACCGTCATCACTCTTGTTCAATATGGTTTTTGAAACTTTAGCTAGAGAAATCAGGCAAGAAAAAGAAATAAAAGGAATACAAATAGTACAAGAAGAATTCAAATTATCCCTATTTGCAAATTATATAATTCTTTACACATAGAAGACACAAAAAACTCCACCAGAAGTCTTTTATATCTTATAAACAAATTCAGCAAAGTGGCTGGATACAAAATTAATACACAAAAATCAATTGCATTCCTGTCCACTAATTATGAACCCACCAAGAAAGAAATCAGGAAAACATTTCCTTTCCAATCACTTCAAAAAAATTAAATATCTAGGAATCAATCTAACCAAAGAAATGAAAGACCTCTATAATGAAAATTACAGAATTCTGAAAAAAGTGAAGATGATTTTAGAAAATGGAAAGACATCCCTTGTTCTTGCACTGGCAGAATACTGTTAAAATAGCCATACTACCAACAGCAATCTATAGATTCAATGCAACCGAAAACATTCTTCACAGAACTTAGAAAAGGCAATATTCAATTTCATTGGGAATCAGAAAAGACCCACAATATCCAAAGCAATCCTGAACAAATAAATATGCAGTATTTAACTTTCTGAGCCTGGCTAATTTCACTTATGATAGTTGCTAGTTTCATCTATTTTCTTGCAAATAGCATGATTTGGGTCTTCTTTATGGCTGAATAATATTCCACTATGTATATATAGCATTTATCCATTCATCTGTTGATGGCATCTTAGGCTATAGGTCTAATGATTAGTTACACAGGGGTTAGAATATAAGAAAAGTCTGATATTAAAATATTAGCTTTGGAAGAGGATTGACATTTTATCACATTTTATGATACTAAGTCTTACCAACCAAAATATAGCATGTCTATTTAATGGAGTGCACAGAAATGTTATTTTCACACATTTACTCTGGAGCTATTGATGCCTTTTCTATTAGGTCACATGGGGAAATGTTCAGCATTTTATTATTTATAAATATGCTTATTAGTTTTCTTACCTGATTTTTTTGAAGGTTAGCTTCTTCTAAGAGTTGCATGCTATCTCTTACTCTTAAAATAGCCTCATATTTCTCATTTTCTAATTCATTGCACTTTGCTTTTAGGTCTCTGGTTAGTTTTTCCAGATGTGTTTTTTCTGCTCTTAATTGGTCAGCTTCTTGGATTGCCATGCATAATCTATAAATTAATAATTACATTGTGAAAATTAAATATTTTCTAAAGGAAAGGAAGGAGATGAGAGATATTCTAAGGCTCTAATAGAGAACAGGTGTTAATACCAGTAACTTTCACATGTATTTTTTCACTACAATTCTGCGAAGTTGGTTTTATTATCTCCATTTTAAAGAACAAACATACCCATAAAGGTTTAAGATTTGATTAAGGTCATATAGGTACATAGTAGTAGGGTTGAGACCGAGCCTAAATATCTGACTCTAATTAAAGTCACACTATATAATATAGTCATATGATAATATTTCAGTCTTTACATCCTTAGAGACTGAGTTGTTCTTTATATTTATATGGTCATTTTTTTCTTGATTGTTTGCCTACCCTTTCTCACCTTCAACCCAGGAAAGCCATGTGACTTACTAATAAACATCTTTGAATATTTTCCTCTAGGCTCACAGAATCATACACATATATGCACATGCATACTGATACATAACAGCACATACACATTTATCCATAGGTTTCTGAACATAGTTTTTATCTTATAACAATTAAAATCATGGTATAGTCTTTTCTCATTCAATATCTTAAAAATTTCATCAAGAAATACACCCCAAAGCTCCTTTTTTTCCTAGTCTGATGGATATAACCTCACTTCACTGTTATTTTGTATTTTCCTGACTACATATTGGGGAGTTTAAGCATATTTTCCTATACTGGTAAGCTATGTGGATTTTCCTCTTTTAATTTCCTCTTCATCTTCTTGGCCCACTTTTTCTCTGAGGAATTGTTTACTTGACCCTCTGTAAGAATTCTGAATATTACAGCTGTTACCCCTTGGTCTGTCCTCTACATTGAGACTATTTTTTTTTCCAAACTTACTTTTTATTGGCTACTGACTACTTAGGGAATCTTTACCATACTAAAAATTCAATACAGATGAATTTTATAATTTTTTAACTTCTGGGATTTTAATTTTTATAAAGATGATCTTTCTCATATTTATTACCATGAAACTTACTTTTCATTATAGTGCTTGTGGTACATGACTTTAAAACTATATATTTTCCCTTGATAAAAATAAAATTGAAAATGAGTAAGGCCAGCTCACAGTTATTCAATATATACATAAAAACTGCCCTAAACCTGGTGTGGTGTGTACACCTGTAATCCCAGCACTCAGGAGGCTCAGGCAGGAGGACTTCTGTGAGTTTGACGGCAGCCTGAGCTACATAGTGAAGTTAAGGCCAGCCTGAACTACATAGTGAGACCCTGTGTAAGAAAATAAAAAAACAAAAAACAAAACTGTCCTATAGAACTGATATAAAAATTAATGTGATTTTATTTGCTCAACAGAAATATTTTTAGAAATTCAGAAATTAATTTAAAAACATTTAACAATAATCATTTTGCAATAAATTAAAGACATTATCGCAGAAAAGATTTAAAATCTACTCTTTGTAATACTTTATTATACCCTCCTCCTACCTTGTTCTATTTCATTAAGCCCACTGAGACTTGAAAAATATACTTTTGTGGGGTTTTTTGGTTTGTTTTTGGTACCGGGGATCGAACTTGGGTCCTTGAGCTTGTGCAGCAGGCGGCAAAACCACTGAGCCAAATCCCCGGCCCCTGGAAAAATATACTTTTAACTCCAGGAATAAATATAATTTATTAGTCTTATAACTACATTTTTTTCAAATACCAATAAATTTTATTAAATGATAATGCTCACAAAAGACAAAAAAAATCAACAGACTTTTGTATTTCTAGGAGGAGTTTGTCATTAGTCTCAAAAATCTTCATTATTTTCTTTGTTTAATACATATTTTATTTTCTGTATTTTATTATTTTATTCTCTGGGGGAGTACTCGTTCAAAACTCATTACTTGTTTCCCTCTTGCCAGCCAAGTGGTTTATTTTCTCATGCATTTGATAATTTTTGAGTAAGTTCATATCTGCCTGAATTTATGTGTGGAATTCTGAGAGGCTTAAGTTAAAAATATTTCCTCCTAAAAGAAATTTACTTTTGCTTCTTCTGTGCACCAAGACTTACTGCCAAGCTCTTGCCACTGCAGTTTTTGGCTTCAGGTTTCCACATGAACAGGTTCTATAAATTTGAACCCTAAGCTTATCTGAGGGTAGGACTATGATTATATATTCTCAGTTATCATAGTTTGTGTTTTCTATTTGGCAAAATAGGAAATAGCTTCCCTTGTTGGCTGTATTTGTTAAGAGGCAAATATTTTTTCCTAGTTTAGCCTTTCAATAAAAGTTGTCATTCCTACAAGGGTTCTGTTAAGGCAGGCTGGAGCTTTAGCTAGCTGCCCCATTACGTAGTCCTAGCCCTGATTTCCTTGTTTATTTATCACCCTGGTTTTAGTTCCCTGGTTTGTTTATATTTACCCTTGGGGATATATCTCTCACTTTTAAATGCTCAGTTTATAATACAGCATGTTTGTTTTAATTTACCATAAATATGTTCGCATCAAGAGGGCTTTCCCCAAAATATTTAGCCTGCTATTATGTAATGGAAACAGTCTTCTCATTCATAATGAATCCTTATATTGTCTCCATTTCTAACTTATACCACTAAGTAGTTGGTACAGCCAGCATCTACTTCAGAACTTGGGAACAGATGCTAGTGGGATATTACATCTGCTGTATGCTCCTTCTGTTTTTCCTTTGTATAGATGATATAGGACTGTATTCGACCCCTATGCTCACAGGGAGAAAAAGAATGACCAAGAAATTCCCCTATCCTTGTTTTCCAGAACCCTCTATCCTGTCTTCCAGAAAAGGGCTAACAGCAAAGGATAGCCCCGCTATTAATATCCCAAATAAGACCCACTTCTGATGTTTGTCATGACTCCCATAACACTCATGCATGACTCAATTTTTAAATTTACCTATATAAAACCTTGGGCCCCTTCTCTAATTTTTAAAACATTCTTCATTAATGAATATACTCTATGCTGCAATATCTTCAATAAATAACCTCCTAAACTTATCCAGTGCATCTGGTCTTTCATTGTATTAAAGAGTCCTTAAATTATTCAGCCAAACCTTGAAATGAAAGAAAAATTTAAAATTCTACTTTTCATTCACTTTCACATTACTCCCTATCAATCTCTTAACACTCCCCACATACTCTATGGTAATCTTGTCTTTTAAAATGTCTACAGTCTAGGAAGTAAATATTTCCTGAAGGGAGAACAAAAAAAAGTGATTTGTATGCTAAGTATACAAAGATATATAAATCTGTATGTATTCTTTAGGAAATAAAGGTGAAATCTCAAACACAAATTCAGGTTGATAGTGGTAGCCAACCAACAGTCAATTAATTGTACTGTTGAGTAACCACCTTTAAGAGTTAAGCATATAAAAATAAGAACCAAGATACTCATGTAAAGGTACAAGATCCCAGTGATGAATGTAACTGTATATTTTGTACCTAAAATGCACCAATAAACTTAATGGAAAAAAAAAGAGTTAAGCATATAAAAAAACAAAGCAAAACAAAAAAAGAGTTAAGCATATAAATGATTTGGGGGAAGTCAGCAGAAGTAGAATTGTACAAGTGATACCTATTAATAAGCCTTTATTCTAAATTTTTACTTATCTTTTAAAACCCGTATTTTTTATCAGTGCTGTTTAATTTTAATTTTTTTATTAGTTTTTAAAACTAATTTTATTGGTACATTTCAGGCATACAATATGCTGACTTTTTTTTTTTTTGGTACTAGGGAACAAACTCATGACCTTGTGCTTTCGAAACAGGTGCAGTGCCACTGAGCTAAATCCCTGGCCCTGGACATTCATTATTGAGAATTTGTACTTTTACATAATATATCTTGGTTCTTATTTTTTCCCCATTCCCCTGCCCTCTCTTCTACCCCTCCATATTTACAAAGACTTTGTTTCCATTTTTTTCTTTTCTCATATTTATTCCTTTCCCTTCTTTCCTTTCCCCTACCCCTCCCATGTGCTCTCCCCCTTTGGACCTTTTCTTCCTATTTCACATTATCTATTATACATTTTGATCCTTATTTACACTTTGTTTCTCACACCTGAGAAACTATTTAGTATTTACACGTGTGTCTGTGGAAATCAGTATGGAGATACCTCAAAAAACTAGGATTAGTTTGACCCAGCGATTCCCCTGCTGGGTATCTTCCTAGAAGAATTAAAAGAATCATACCACAGTGATATATGTGCATCCATGTTCATAGCAGCACAGTTTGTAATAGCTAAAACTTGGAAGTAGCCCAAACGCCCAACAACTGGACACTGGATAAAGAAAATGTGTCTTTTATAAAATGGAGTACTACTCAGCCATAAAGAATGAGAAACTAGAGACATTTATAGCTAAATGGATGTACATTGAGGTCATACTCTTAAGTGAAATAAATAAAATCCCTATTTTAACTGTAGCATCCACTGGTCAATTTTCCCTACTGATAATTAAAACATGGTAAACATTTAACAGTATGTACACTTTAGAACATATTTTGCACTATTTAAACTAAATAAATATGATATAATTTAAGGACTTTTCCCTGTCATTTACAGATAAAAAGGTCAGGTGTTACTAGACGCTAGCCATTGCTACAGCCCCAGAAGCTCTCGCACTGTGCTTAGCAGTACTCAAAACACATTGAATAAATGATGCTTCATGTGAATATGGAAGCCCTTCTCCAAGACTTTTCTCCTCATAATGCAGGGGAAATCATTATTTAGTTACATTGGGATATATTTCAAATTTCTGAGGTCTTTTTCTACTACTCCTGTTCAATAACCAGTATAACAATGGCTGCTCCTTTGAGACACTTCCTTTGCAGAATTATTTCCCCTCCCTTTGTTCTTTGCAAGTATACTTCCCATCCCCTTACCTGGCTTTCTAAATTTTAAACAGAAGCCACATCTAAATGATTAAGACATTAACTGCTAAACAATCTTTTTTAATATTCACAGAACTCAGATATCCAGTTACTTTCAGATTACATCAGAATATGTAATATCTTTCATTATTGTTTAGTTCTGCACATCAACTAACACAAAGCATGTAGACTGCGGTGATGTTTAACTCGCAGAAAAGTAACATGTTTGTAACTAACCCTGAAGGTCAAGGTCAATCGCAATGCTCTGGCCAAAGAAAAGAAAGAAAAGAGGAGACACATGTTCTAGGTGAGAAAGATCCCACTCAGCATATTCTTTTTCTGCTTATTCTCTTTCCTCCTGTCCCAACCTATAAATCCCCTTAATGAGCTCCCCAAAATGGGGTTCTGAGGCAATAGTCTCCCTCGTCATCTCAAGATGCCCTTGAATAAAACTGATTTCCTTCCCACCAACACTTGTCTCCTGAGTATTGGCTTTTGAGTGGCGAGCAGCTGGACCTGGGCCTGGGAACAAGTTGAACATGAATTTCAAGTATGCTTAGCATATGGCTACTATATTCTGTTCAAAATAAAATTGCCCAAAACAAATAAAATTATTATAATTTACCATGTCTTTTTTTCTCTCCTCAAATTGAATTATTATTGATTCCTTCAGGGGACATACCTATTTTCTTCTGCCAATTTAAGTACTAAATCTTACACAATAAAATTCTTAGTATAAAAGAGGAATGTGAAAATGGGAGGGAAGAATATATTCTTGTCAATTTTATTACAAGTATTGTATTAACTGGAAAGATTTTATTAAGCAGATAAATTATTCATTTTATAACAAAATTGTAAAAGTATATGAAAATATCTAATTTTTATATTTCATGTTACCATGGAGATATATAAAGGAGTGTATGATGAAAATATGAAATACCAAAAATACTGTGATATTCTCTCAATCTTTAAAAACATTTTAAGGGCTGTGATTTAAGAATCCAATCATTAAAGTAGAAGTTTGGGGAAATAACACATTTTTTGCTTATACATGTAGATATTATGTCAAAATATTCAACTGATATCTAAAACAAGGGAACTTTTTAGTATGCTAAAAATTACTTCCTATCTTTCAGAAAAGACAAACATATGGTCTAAAGGCATATTCTCTTCACTTAAACAGAAGTTCATAACCTAATTTCAAGTCATGTTGTTTAGCATGCAAAAAGAAAAGGGATTAAGTAGAACGAACATCAAGGGGATCATTCTGACATACCGATGTCTGATACTCAATCCTCTGCAAATATGATAGTAATGGCATTTGAGATGTGTGGACAAATTTTGGTGGTTACAATGATATGAAGTGCAACTAGAATTTAATGTTTGGTGTTAGGGGTGCTAAATATTCCATAATTATTGGCACAGTTTGAAATAACAGTTGTCTAACCCAATAGGTCAGTAATATAGTACCACTGAAAAACCTAACATGGCATCAACTCATGATGGCTAGAAGGCAGAGATCTGTGATTGGAAAAGAAATCAGAAAGGCCACTGGAAATTACAATTCTCAACACAAGAAAGAATAGTATTGGGGAGCAGGATGCCCTAGCAGCATGACTTCTGGGGGAATCAACAGGGCTGAAGGAACAAGCTTCAGCTTGCAAGGCTTTCCTGACATACTGAGCCCAAGATGCAAAAAGAATCTATAACATTCAGCTTCTGTAGCTAATTCTTTCAGGGTTTATGACCCATGATTCCAAAAAAAGTTTTTAAAACTGACATTCTTTTCCTTTCATTGCCTTCTGTTTCAATGGTTTACTTCTATGTAACTGCATTATTAATAAAAATATAGATTTTTGGAGGGTTTGAGATAATATCACAATTTTTTCTGATATGATTTAAAATTTTTAACTGCTCTTAAGAAGAAAGGATTAAAAAGAAAGAAAGGATTTTAGATTCCTAAAAATCAATTTGGTTCACTCCAAAATCTGTTCACTCAAAAGGAATGAAAATGAAGGGGTGCTTTAGTCTTAAAATAAAAACCATAGCTGCTCAGTTTTCTTTTCAATAAATTACTGGACTAAATTGGACACAACTTTCAAATTTATGACACAAATTAATGTATTCTGTAAAGGGTTTAACTCATTAAATAAATAATTTTGGAAATATGTTTAAAGT